CCATGGTACTTTCAGCATTCTTCGCCAGCACCACAACTCAGAAGCATCAATGCTTCTTCCGTCTTCCTTATTCATTGTCCAGCTCTCACCTGCACTTAGAGCAAATCCAAGAAAAATAGGCAAGGTCTATATGGAACTTATTGTATAATTTCATAGAAATATGTTCAAAACAAAATTACTTTTATAGGATTAATGAATATAAAGGCACTCTCGTGGTGTAGTGGATAAGGCATTTGGCTGCTAACTAGAAGTTCAATGGTTTAAACCCACCAGGTACTCTGTGAAAGGAAGATGGGGTAATCTATTTTCGTAAAGATTTACAGCCTTGGAAATCTAATGGGGGTCGCTATGAGTCAGAATCGACTCAATGGTTGTGAGCTTGGTAATCTGGTTTAATGAATATAAAGGTGCCAAGTAATGCAAAATTGTTTCAGAGATTCAATTCAATTCTAATCTACAGCTCACTTACTTGGAAAAAGAAATAATATTTGGAAGGAAACTTGAATTTCTCAATGCTGTGCATAAGGTCACTCTGAGACAGTGTTGATGGCACATTTGTTGAGAATTTATGAACATTAGTGATGGTTTGTGATAGATGGAATTGCAAAAGTACATGGCATAGCATTCAGAAATTGTACTCTTTTATAAATAGAATAAGACTAAGAAAAATAAAGCCATGCAAAACAACAGTTTGTCTACAAAAGTGTATGTATGAGCTACATATGGACATATTTATCTGATGTCCAAAACTATCATAGCAAAGCAGCTTGAATCCAAGTCATTTGAGAACAACTACCAAAACTATTTATTTAGAAGTTAATTTTGTTAATAAAGAAATGCATCAAAATCTAAGCAGCTGGCCTTGTTGGCCAATAAACTGCAGGCTGATTTACATGTTTGAGTGTGTATTCCTGTGAAACGCAAGGGTGGGGGAGGAGGTGCTGAGGCCACAGTACAGCTTTGTGGTAGGAAACAGTCCCCAAAGCAGGATGCTTACTTCAAGCTGTGACATTAAAACTAGATGTGGTCAGAGGTGTTTACTGGACAGTTGCTCAGAAATGAAAGCACAAGTTATGTGACTATTGCTAAGTGAAACTTTTGTAATCTTGACTTTTAAGTTAATAAATTTGAGCACATAAGAGACATGTTAAAAAAAGACAAATTCGAAATTCACATGGATGGTGAATTAAATAAAGGGGACTGGAAAACATAGAGCTTAGTCTTTGGATATACATGTACATACTGAGGCAGAAAAGAAATTACAAGCAATGTGAAAGTAAATACTACAAACATACTTTAAGGAATATTTAGGAAGAAACTATTAAACATTAAGTTAGGTATTAGTAGTGAGTCAGGCAAGTATAATGTGATTTAACACATGGTAATAGGATGAACCATAAAGCAGAGACTCCATAAACATTGAATGTAATCAACACTCTGGTAGGAGTAGCAGGTCATTATCTCAGCAAGTAGCTAATGCTTGCTTGCATAGTTTCTTGACCTAGAAAATAACTACTCTATTATTAAATAAGATAAATAATTTGTCTCATTTCTGTTGAGAATCTCTATGATTCTAAAAGTTAGTAATTATATTTAGATTTCTTGCACAAAGAACTATTTTCTTATAGGAGCTCTGGTGGCATAGTGCTAACCAGAAGGCTGGTGGTTCAAACCCGCCAGCCACTCCTTTGAAGGTAGATTGGACGATCTACTTCTGTAGAGATACTGCCTCGGAAACCCAAGGAGAAGTCGCTTTGAGTCAGGATCAACTTGATGGCAGTGAGTTTGGTTTTTTTTTAGTTTAACTTAGCCCAGACTAGAAGGATTTAAAAAAAAAAAAAAAAAAAAAAAGAAATCTGTATGATGTAATGGAACATAAAAGTTATTTTTCTCTGTAGTGCCATCTTAGAAATTGTGAATAAGCAGCCATAAATAAGTAACTGTTTTCAAAACTACTCTCAAGTCAATCACTTGAATTGGATGACTTACAGATCAGAAAAATTCACATTTTACTCAT